TGCATGTACACAGCCAACTTAGGACAAAGTTGTGGGGCTGTGCAGCACAAAAAGGGTGATCTTTTCAGGAAACACTGCTAAGTCAACTGATTATTCATTCAGGAATATGAGTAAAAATAGCCTTCTGATATCCTGCTGTCTGACTCATCTTACTAATTTTTTAGTGTCTACATTGGGAGTGAGGACCTATTTAACAGGAAACATTTCTGTGACCTGTCTGCTTTCTCTAAACCACCCATCTGATCATATCACCTTCTTACTTCAAATCTTTTCCCAGTTTCCACTGCCCTCAATATCAAATCCAAACTCCTTAAAAGTCTTACAGGGCTCTTCAGGATCTGGGCCCCACTTCTTTTCCCAGTCTCATCTTCTACTTCCTGCTGAGGTCTATCCACACCATCTGTGTTACATCTTTCCCACTTGGAGGCCTCTACATACGTTGCCTATCCCACCTTGATAACACAGTTCTCCTTTGCTGGATAAATGCCTACTGGACCAGGGATTCTTAGTCTAAACATCACTTCCTATAGGAAGTGAATCCCTAACAACTCACCACTTCCTGCCATGCCCAAGGGCTCCTATGGCATCACACTGTGTTATTAGACTGAGCACATCATTTCTCATACTGCATTGTTTTGCTTGTTTGCTTTTCTGTAGCTCCCTGAGGGCAGCGATATGGTATCTTTTATTGCTATATTCTCAGAGCTCGGGGCTGGGAAGGTGGCTCAGTGGTAGAGCGCTTGCCTTGCATGCCTGAGGCCCTGGGTTCGATTCCTCAGCACCACATAAGCAAAAAGAAAAAAGCCGGAAGTGGCGCTGTGGCTCAAGTGGTAGAGTGCTAGCCTTGAGCCGAAGAGCTGAGGGACAGCGCCCAGGCCCAGAGTTCAGGCCCCACGACCGGACCCAAAACAAAAACTATAATCCTCAGAGCTAAGCATATAGTGAGCACTCAACAAACACTGGTGGAAATGAATCATATTTGCAATTTATAAAGCATTTTAGCTATATGTATTGTAAAATCTCATGAGGTAGAACATGTCACAAAAAATACTCTCATTTTCCAGATGGCCCAAACGAGGCCCGCTTTATCAAAGTCAATCAGCTAGGGCAATGATACCATGCCTCTCCAATCTGCTATTTAACTCAATTTATCAGCTACACAGTATTTCCATTATTTTGAATAGCACATAATTACATATGAGCTTAGTTTAAATGGTACTTCTTTATCTCCAGGGTTTTTACTTCTTTTATCAAAGGAAATTTCTAACACATATAAAAATAGAGTGTAACCAACTCCCATCAATGTGCTGTCCAGTTTCAACAGCTATCAACTCATGATCAATCTTGTCTCCTCTATGCCACACACACATTTCCATCTTCCAGACTGCTGGAAGCAAATTCCAGACATTATATCATTTTATCTGTAAATATTTCAGTTAAATGGTACATTATACAAATAATTCACAAGCATATCCATTTGGTCGTATTAAAAAGACTCATAAACAGAGTCCTTCCTTATAGCTTTGTAAGAAAAGCAAGACTATCTATACTCACTATTTCTGTATTCACAGTTTGCAGAGGGATGTTATACAATACCTCTACTGGTATATAATCTAATCATCAACTCTGGATGATAGGAATTGAATCAGAGGTAAGGTAAACAAAAAATTATCTACTGAGCCAGAAAAGTAGATCTCAATTTTCACAAAGTTGAATGGAAAGTATATAATTTAGTGGTTTATAGCTGTCACATTCCCTCCTCCTCTATCTGGACTATCAAACTAGACCTGTGAGAAGCCCAACTGCTCCATCCTAAGCAAGAGACATGCTTGGGCCTCACCTACCAAATGCTGTCACATGAGATTCACTGTATGCTTCTGCAAAAATCAAAACAGCAAACTCCACTCTCAAAGGAAATCTTTCTTAAACATAAATCTTGGACATAAAAACATCTCAAATGTGATGAGGACCAGGCTGTTCAGTAATAAAACAATATCATGCTTATCAGCTCTCGTGCCAGGTTGTACAATAATCTAATGGACCCATAAATCTACACAACTATCCATGGCACCAACAACAGGGGGCGGAGATAGTTTCAAATCTTTTTAGATGTCATAAAAATTGTCTGCAGCCAGTAAAACAGGCTGGGAAGTTTATATTTTCACCAGAGGCTTCACACTGAGAAGTGGGTTAAGAAAACTTCTGGCACGTGGTTTCGTTCCATAAACAAATCAGGAATCATGTGCATGCAAATATAGAAAATATATATATACACACACATACTTACACAACTGATGAAGTTAATGTTTCATGTCACCTACAAATCTATTTCACAAGAATATAGTTAACCATACAAATGCTATATTTTCAACCATACTACTATTCTCCTACTCTACCTAGTCCCCTCATTCTATAGATGTCTATCTCTAAAGTGTTATATTAATACAATTTGGGAGGGTAGTACTGGGCTTGAACTCCAGGCCTTGTGTTCTCACTCAGCTTCTCTGCTCAGAATTGGTGCTCTACCATTTGAGGCATGCCTCTACTTCTGCCTTATTTTTCCTGGTTAACTGGGGACAAGTAATCCTGAGACTTTTGTTTGCTTGGGCTGGGTTTGAAATGAGATTCTCAGAGCTGTTTCCTGAGTAGCTAGGTATATGTCACTGGCAACTGGCATTAATACAGTATTTTAAAATATTAGTCATTCTCCAAATACTTATTGAATACCTACTATGTATCACTCACTGTTCCAAGTATATGATGCACATCAATGAGAAAGAAGAAGCTCTTTTAGGGAAGAGCAAAGGTGATAAGAAGCAATTGGGTCATACTTAGCAGGCCGAGCTAATGGAGTTTTCTGATGACCAATCAGGAAAACCTCAGAGGTTTTTGTCCTGAGAATCAAGATGGTGGTGGCACTGCCTTTAACAGAGGTAGGAAAAGATGCAATTGGAGGAGGAAGAGTTTATGTTTGGATCAACTGATGTTGTTCCTTCTCAAGACGGAGACTTGCTCCTTAGTAAATCTTTACAGGAATCTGAATGTGATTGTGTGTGATAGAAGTGAGGCTATCACACAAGCTGGGATATTAACTATAGTTCGCAGATCCTAAGAAACAACATAGATTGCTTACTGAAAGGAACAATGCTGGTGCAGAGAAGCTTTGACAGAGTTAGAAGGAAATGGTCTAGGGCTGGGAAGGTGGCTCAGTGGTAGAGTGCTTGCCTTGCATGCATGAGGCCCTGGGTTCGATTCCTCAGTACCACATAAGCAAAAAGAAAAAAGCTGGAAGTGGCGCTGTGGCTCAAGTGGTAGCGCGCTAGCCTTGAGCTGAAGAGCTGAGGGACAGCGCCCAGGCCCAGAGTTCAGGTCCCACGACTGGACCCCCCCCCAAAAAAGAAGGAAACAGTCTACAACTTTTATGTATCTTCCTTTTCTGTCTTATTCATCTCTAAGAGTGTTAAGTATCCAAAAATTTCCCCCTTCAGAATCTGTTTCTAATGCGTGATGGTTCTTGGGCCAGGTTTCTGGGGGCAGAGTGGCTAGTGGAGATTCTGAAGCTGCAGAAGATGAGACAACTCTTCTAATTTTCAACTCACTGAAAAATGAAGAACATTGAAAAAGCCTCTGATAAACCTAAATTAGAGACGGTACCATACCCCATCCCCCAAACCTGCTGGCACAAATGTCAAAGCAAACATTTCAGCACTAAATGAAATTAACAAACATTCCTGAAGCACAGCATGAGTGTAGTTTATTATAATTTGGAAAATTCCACAGTATTTATCAACTTCTAAGCAAGGCTATGATGCTTAGATATGTACCACAGTAGACGTCATCAGCAGCCACAAGTGTGATGACTCTGGGTGTGTTGCCATAGCAACAACATACTCAGCAGCAACAGAGCTGTTCGTCTCTCCCCAACTCAGATCCACAGGCAGAAGAAAACAGCCTGCTTCCTGATGGGAACAACCCAGGGAGTCAGAAAGTAGCCTGATTCCAATTATTCACACACACACACACACACACACACACACACATACGAGACTTCCTTTCAACAGTCTGAAATTGTCTCCATCCAACTCCCAAGAGAAAAACGGCACAACTGCCTTACTCGAATGCAGGTTGTAGTCAACAAAACCAAGCACAAAGCATTAGAGAAATGTCTAAGGAAAGAGATTGTTGGGTATTTGGCTCATATGTTGACCTGGGTCTTGGTGTTGAGGATTTTTTTTTCTTGGAAGGAGATGGAGAAGTGCTGGGTCATTTGAAAAGTCATCCTGAGAACTATTCCCTAGAGAGATACTATGATTTCAATCTTGACTCTTGAGAACATGCTCCAAAAGGCCCATGTGTTAAAAGCCTTGGTCTCTAGGGTGGAGCTATTGGAGGGTGGTGAAACCATTGAAAGGTGAGGTCTGCTGGAATGTCTTTTAGGTCACTGAGAGTATGTCCCTGAAGGAGATTATGAGTCCATTGCTTCCCCGCCTCTCCACCCCGCCGTGTGTGTGTGTGTGTGTGTGTGTGTGTGTGTGTGTGTGTGTGTGTCTTTCCCTCCCTGCTCCCTCTCTCTCTCTGCTCTCTGGCTGATGCAGTGAAAGTTCTGCCTCATCATGCAATCCCATTATGACATGCTGTCATACCACAAGTATAAAGCTGTGGGGCCAACCAATCATAAACTAGATCTCCAAAACTGTAAGTCAAAATGGGCCTTTCCTTTTATAAGTTAAATGTTTCATCTATTTTGCTATAGCAATGGAAAGGTGACTAACATAGGAGATGGACAAGAAAGGAAGTGGCACACTAGAACATGAGCTGTTTGAAAAGAAGCCATTCTTGCACAGGAAAGATGGTTAGTGGGGTGGAATGGCAAATAGCTAGTACATGAGGATACCACAAGTCCAAAAAAAAGCTACTAGAAATGTCTGATGTCAAATCCCACAATGCACTTTTGAATATTCCAAATTATGTAGAAATAAAACAGAAAGTGTGAAACATACCTTTTCCATTGGCAGAAAGTCATTTTCTACTTCAATTGATCTTGGTCTCAGTTTGATGGGCTTGTCTTTAAAAATATCTCCAAAGCCCACTCCCTTAACTTTCTTGGGCTGGATGGCTGCAGTTGCCATGGAGCCATTGGCACCTTCGGACTTGGTACTGCTCGAGTCACCTCCATCACTCTCGGAGCCAGTAGTTTCCCTTAAGCCTGTTGAAAGGGGAGGTGGGGAGAAAAAGAGCTCAAAAATCAGCCATAGCCCTGAAGAAGAACATTACAGTCAGCCAGTGGCCCTCTAACCCAGGAGAGGATAACTTATATAGGAAAGTTTACATTCATTGTATTGAGTGTGTTGAGTTTGGCTGGCTCTATGTATTGTTTGATCTTCCTACCCTTCAGACTTCCATTGTAAGCAATGAATCAAAAATAACGTTTTAGTAATTTCAAGCAGACCTCTCTGCATATGTGACATTTCACCCCCTTTTCAGCTGGAACCTGGTCCTGATCCAAATTTATTTGGCAGTGGCTGGTGTGATATCACCCTCCCCGCCCCTTCTTATCCCCACACCATCAGTACCACATACTATACCTCCAATCTCTCTCTGACTCATGTCAATTAGCAATGAAAGTAACATTTTCTAAAGGGAAACTGTAAAGCTAAAAGTGATTTAAACAAATTAGCAATTAAAGAAATCACACAAAATTACGACTGCCAAAGAATTAAATCTCTTTGGATGGCTTCACACGGAATAAATACATGCAGGCGTGTTTCTCTAGGAAAGCATTAAACCAATCTTGACATTAAGATGGTTTCACTAGCAAGATGATGAAGTCGGCCAAAGAGGGACAGAAATACCCCTCCTTGAGGCCTGAATTCCCCATATCCATAGTTCTTTCCTCCTTTACACCATCGTTTTTTTGCAAAGCGAATCTCTTTCCAAAGAAAACACTGTGGGTAAGACACTCTTCCTTTGATCTCTTGCTACATGTTAGGAAGCATAAAACAGTTATTGGTAGGACAATACAGACACTTACCTCCCCAGATTCTTTTTCCCCAGGATCTGCCCATAATCATGTTCCTAAAAGTAGGAGCCTATTTGTGCACAGTTAATTTCTGGGTATCCATTCTTCCCTTGATGATCAGTATATCAATTATACCATCAAAGGGCAAGAGTCATAGGATATTATATGAAATACTAAGTTCTGTCTTTAAACTATCTCTCAAAACCTCTACATGTGTAGGATAGCTCCTGACCATTTACTACATATCTCCTAATCATAACAATGCTCTTGGGATTAAGTAAGCCATCAAATTTTGATCTCTATTATTTAGTTGTTCATTATCTTCCTACAGGTCAGATGGCCTCCTAGTCTGCAAGAATAATATGCCAAATAATTGCTCACATAAAATATCATAAAATGCTGAAGTCATTCAAATGAGGAAGTCTCAGTGCAGGAAGAAACTTAAATGGAAACAGATAAAATATAGAAAGGTCATTATGAATTGCTACCAATTTCAAAATCAAATCCTTAAAACAACGGTTGCCTTTTGTTGCTGCTGCTGTTTTCCATTAAATGGTATTTCTAAGCTAAAAGAGTAGGGGAGGAGGAAGATCTCTGGTGCACATTTTAATTAATTTAAACACAAACATTTGTGAGCAACAAGAGAGGACAGAACAATGAGAAGCAGCCTATAACAAGGGGGTCGGCTGTAATTCACGGGACTGAATTTGAGTGTGCAAACATGAAAAAACCCATGCATTAGCTATCCATGCATGTGTTTATCTGCTCATTGTTTTTGGAACTATCCCTACTGGGGATTATAATTTTGGAGTCTAAATATTGTGTCATTTCTCCTTTAACATGTTCTCATTTTGCCGTATGGATTCTTTCTGTGTGATAAATGGCTTGTATATTCTTCGCAGGTTTGGAAAGAACCATTTAAGGATAAAATAAATGGTTAGTGGGAAGAAACGATCATCTCCCCCCTTCCTCCATCCCTCCTCCCACCAACACCATGAAGCAGCAGGGCCAATGGACCGGAGCAAGTCTGCTTTAATTCTTCGGAGAAAGGAATTCGAAGAGTTCTTTCCATTAGCTAGAACCATAATATTGTTACCACTGCCATCCTATTTTCACCAAGCTTCCAGTTTTAGGGATTTGCTGCCTTCTGGCTTAACAACTTCATGTTAATACCTGTGAGAAATACTTTGTATTAACACAGGAAGAGGTCATATGGTTATTCAACCACACAAGCACTGTCTGGGAAGGAAACACACGGCAGATTTTTTTCTTCCAGAAATTCTGGCAACCCGTTTCTGTCATTTTTTTGAGTACATAAATTAAAAGATCTACATTGATGAGGTAAGTCAAAAATCTAGTTTCTTCCCTTCGTTAGGAAAGAAAGGTAACTTCATTTTTATGTCTGTTTGGTGCTGTGTCTTTTAGCAACTGATACCTAAAATACATATTATCCCACAAAATGTTCTCATGTCATTTTCAGAATGACAGATGACATTCTTGGGCAGTGAAACCCAGAGCGTGAACTGCAGACTGGGGACAGTTCACGAAGATCTCATTACTGGTACACAATGAGTTAAGTACAATAAATGTGCATATGCTCTTCCTTCAAGGTAAGAAAAGAACAGAGCCTCCTCAAATTTGCTTGTGACAGTCCTATAACTGTCCACGTCTATGGATTTACCCTACTCTTCCAGCACTGAACAGAGTCGTTCTTTGTTTTCAATTTCACATACACATGCAGTGTTTACTATGTAGCAGAAACCATTTGAAAGACACCATGAGATTATTAATTCATTCATTTCATTCATCTCTTTACCATCAACTTTTGGCAGCCTTATTCCACAACACACAAGGCTACACATTGGTCTTGCCAAAAGAAGTCTGCCGTGTGGTGATTAGCTGAATGAGCAAAGCAAAACACCATTTCTGGCATGGATTTTCATGCCAAATCTTCTTTCTCTGAACCACGCAATGAAGAATGACCCACTCAGAAAGAGCACTACGAGAGGCTGATATCTTTGCTGGAAGCCAACTTCTACTACTCCAGAAGCCCAAGGATATTAGTACACAAACATGTGCCACGGCAATGCTACTGCTCTCTTCTCTGCACACACAGTTCATGCATGCATGTCACATACATGAACGAGGCAAAAAGCAAACAAGAAAGCATCAAGGGCTAGTGATGAGAATGCTCTTGTAGCATACACCAAGGAAATGACACTTATCGCAGGCAAATAAGTCCATATCCTTGGATCAGAAATTCACACAAACACTTAGCATAAGCATGAGCAGCTCAGAAAAGGGCACCTGCATCAAAAACACAAGTACCCAGATTTTAGTTTACAAATTGTCTCCTGCTGTTAAGGTCACTCACTGTAATAGCGTCTGTGGCCCTCCGTCTTTCCCGGTGCAGCTCGATACAGAATTGTCCCTTCAAAGGTAGTCTTTCCTGACAGTGAATGAGAGAAGAGAAGGGGAGAGAAAAAAAACAAGAGAGAGGGCAGGGGGGAGCAAATGATGGCAAAAGAAGGAAGAGGAAGAGTTTTTAACTGAACTTGCTGTAAGAACTTCATCAGCAAAATTCATTCAGAGACCATTCGAGGCAGACTTCAAGAATGTTCTAGAATGAGCCCAAAGTCCCCATGCTACCACGATGGCACTGAACAGTCAGAATCAGGCCTTGCTTCTACCAAGTAATGACATACAGGTTAGGCCCAGGTAAAAACTGGAAGCCATTTTAACACTTCAACTTAGGAACAGGAAAACCTCAATTAATCAGAGGGAATCTGATTCATGGGATTCCTTCATGAACTCCAGTATGCAGCAATATCTTCTCTTTGGAGACCATGACCTAAGCATAATGTAGAGCTGGGCTCATTATTCTTTATCTTCTAATAACTCTACAGCCACACCTGGTCAAAGCTGATATTCAAACTCTAATATTCTAAATAAGATACAGAATTCTCCTTAAGAGGTGTCAGGTTGGACGTGTAGCTCAGTGGTAGAGCACTTGTCTAGCATGTGCAAGGCTCTGTATTTGATACGGAACCACAAAAACAAATATGGAAACAAATAAGTTAAAGATGTGTCTGTATCTTTAAACAAAGCTATAGATTAATACTAGACAGGAAGTTTCACCAATACAGCTTAAAACCAATAGTGGCATCCACATAAATGGAAGGAAGGGCAGGTTCTGCTTAACACGAAGGACACAAAAAATTCTATTACTTGAAATAGCTTAATTGAGGTTTTTCCATATTAGTCATGAGACTGTACTCAAGCATGAGGACAAGGGACTCACCCAGCTTCAAGTGTCATTTTATTTGTTACCCACAAGTTTATCAACATTGTTAAGATTGAACAAGACTAATGCCCAAATATCCTAAAACCATGAGTACACAGAATATACATACATACATACTGTCCCACCCACCAACACACACACACACACACACACACACACACACACACACACACACACGTATGAGAGTAGAGGCCTACAGAGAGTAGCACTAGCAGGTAAAATGATTTTCTAAAGGCAAATGCAATTAATAAATGCATTACTCTAAGAAATAAGTTTTATCACAGCTTATAAATACTCAAACTGACAGCCAATCATATACCTTCATAATAGGTGTGAGTCTATATTTACAAGGCAGTAGACTACAGCTGAGAAGGGAGAGAGCCATGTGTCTCATTTCCCAGAAACCCTCCATATAAAAAAGAAGAACCATCAACACTTGCAGCTTTTGAGGACATTGATGACAAAAACAGCAAGTTAGCAGTGACTAGTTTATTTTGGGCAACTCTTAACTTTGATGATTAACATTATTCCTAAAAAATATCTGTTTGTGAGCCAGGCCCTACAAGACTAAATGACAGCAATCTTCTCAGTGACAGGAAAAAAAGTGCAGGAAAAAATTAGTATTTTGATAATTACTAGTTCTTCTCAGTATAACAGAACCTCCATTTGTCCTGAAGAAAATCATAGAATCACTGAGACAGACAGGCCATGGTCCTGATGTCTCTGAATGGTAGCAGTAAGGCAATCTGACATGTAATCTTGGCTAGGCTGGGTGAAGACACAAGCATTCTGACATGAAGGGGGACAGGCAACCAAAGCGATCATGAATGTGTGTGTGTGGTTTACCTAATTGGTGGAAATATTGACTGTCACTATTAAATAT